TTGGTACAAGTTTGCAACATCACGTGTGACCTTCAGTTCAATGCGTCATTCCCTTAAATCTGAATGTGAGTATTGGCAAGGTTTGTGAATTTCTCATGTCTTGGACTTTCTAAGATTTCTAAATTCCACGTCCTCCCATATTTATTCCAAATAATTATATGTTCGTTTGTTTTCTGCAACTGACTTCAATGTAATCACTGCATTCCACGATCATAGCCTTTTAGAACTGTTCGCTAGATATTAGCACGAACTGCCGCTGGGGAAACAACTTTTCAGTTTCTTTTGTAGAATGTCGATGATCAATAAATCCAGGGGTAGTAATACCTGGATTCTCAGATATACACCTTGATGCTTGGTGTTCTCTAGTTAAACGTTAACAAAGAACATCGCTGCCTCTGGCTCACGTGACTTGAACAAAGACGCACAAGCTTGTAGTGCGGGAAACAAGGAGTTTTTCTCTCTCTGTCGAAGATGGACAGAAGTAAGCATATAAGCATACAAACCTTTCTTTTTATAAGAATATTGTTTTTCCGATCGAGGCTGAAAATTCTTATTTTTCTCAAAGTAGTTTCGACCACTTGGATTTTGACGGGTCATTAAAAATTATAATCACTCTTTATCACTTGATGCTGCAATCATGGTATCAGAAAAACTACTCAATCATTGGTGAACACGTTATAATTTTGGTGACACAATAGGTTACCATAGCAACAGTATAATCCACTAAAAACACCCTTAATTTCAGCTTTGCGGGCTTATAATTCAAAAACGGAACGCCGGTGAATTTATATATTAATAAATTTTGATAAGCATGATTAGGAGCCCATTACCAGGAGCCTCCATACGTACTACAACCTAGGGCCGCCCCTTTTCCGTATCATTCTAGTTTAGAACAGTAATTAGCACAAGGGTCTCTTGGTTTCCGCGAAATATCTTGTTTCTGCAGATAGAAAATGTAAAATGACGGCCTAAGGGAATCCTAGTCTTTGTTACAATGGTCTTAGCTGGGGTATCATTGGGTATTGAAAAATAGAAAGATACGGGAAAGGATTGACTGTGCAAAGGGTTCAGAGCCACCTTAAATTTTCAAAACTTTAAGGGGGCTCTGAACCCCATGTACAGATATTTTAAAACTTTGCCAGAAGTCGCGTCTTATCATGCTTATCAAAATGCGATAATATATATATA